TTTTTTTTTTTTTTTTTTTTTTTTTTTTTTTTTTTTTTTTTTTTTTTTTTTTTTTTTTTTTTTTTTTTTTTTTTTTTTTTTTTTTTTTTTTTTTTTTTTTTTTTTTTTTTTGTATATTTATTTAGTCACTATTTATAAAAAAAAAAAAAAATTAAATGAGTGGTTCACGTGCTCACCAACATGTATTTTTTGTACCAACCCTAATGTAGAACCGATTAAGACAGATTATCGACCAAGACTTAGATATTTGACTCCCACCACCTCACACGTCGTCAAACTAAAAGAAAAATTTTAGTGCTCTCTCTATCCTTCTTTTTCAACGTGTATGTATTGTTATGTCATATTTATCTAAAAAGCTAGCTAGCTAGCTAGAACAACTCAAAAAGTAGCTCTTTATGGAAGCTCGATGATTAAATGTCATTTTAGATGTTTGCTACTATACTTTTTCATTTGTTACGACGTCTATAGTTAAATAAGTCTTTCATTAAAGTTTGAAATTAAGCAAATTTATTGAAATTCATATTTCAGTCTCGGTTAAATTACAAGTTTAGGATATCAACTAAATTTATCAAAGTTTTTAAACCAATTAGATATTTTAAAAGTTATGCAGTCTAGAGACCTATTAAATATTAAAGCATATAAACTTTTAAACACAAACTTCGAACTAAATTGGACCCATTTAAAAACTTTAATAAAACATGAACTAATAATTTCATAAACATGTGGGCAATACATTATATTCAATCAAGTATTTTGGTTTCTTTAATAAAGAGGGAAAGGTGTTCTAGTAGTTAGTTGGATGATGCTAATCACTACTTGATTAAACTTCAAACTCAAATTTTGCCAATCATCCCTTTCGAGATTTTTTTAAATAATATAATTTCATTCATTTGTTAGAATTATTTTTAAAATCTCCCGAAAATATAAGGACAAAATAAATATAACTTTATCAAAAAGTTCGATTTGAATTTTTGACTTCTTGATTATATCAATTGAACTATGCTCGTGTTGATACATCAATAAAATTGAGTCAAAATAATAATTATAAAGGTAAAAAACACCATAATTATTATTTACTCACGTTACGAACAAACCATCCATGCATACTTATTATCAGCTAATAAATGAATATTGTTGGCAAAATATTATCATAAAAGTGGACAAAGTTGTCTCTCTAATTTGACCCACAAAAGAAACTAAATTATCCTAAAATCTCTGAAATTTACCATTTGGATTACATATTCAGAAGAACTCTCTCTCTACAATACATTATGGAATTATATTCAGATTTGATGTAACTAAAATTACCCTATTTTTCTTCTTTAGTATATGCTTTTGTTGAATGATTACAAGAAGGTTAATTTAATTTCCTGGATTAGCAATTACAATCACGGGTTCAAAGCCACTAATTAACAATATCTTGTGAAAAAGAATCAACCAACGGTAAAAAGATAATTTGGATAGACCCAACTTTTTTCTTACCCACCTCACCTTTGCAATTTTGAAAAGTAAAGATGCTTTTTCCTAATGTACTATTTTACTGATTTATTGCTGCTAATCTTCTAAACTTTCACCATCAAATAAAACTGATTTATTGCTGTGAAATTTCGTTCTAGTTGGTAAAAAGTCAATTGCTACGATCAAGGTCCATTTATTGACATGTGAAGGAGGAAGATTGAGCTCGTGATGTTTTGAGTATTTCATATTATTGAATTTACCATAACTGGGTTCGGTGGTCATTTAGATATTGTCCGCTTTGATTCATTACGTATCGTCATTAGCTTCACGGTTTTAAAATGCGTCTACTAGGGAGAGGTTTCCACACTCTTATAAGTAATGTTTAATTCCCTTCTCCAACTAATATAGGATCTCACAATCCACCCCTTGAGAGTACAGTATCTGGCTATGATACCATTTGTAACAGCCCAAACCCATCACTAGCTGATATTGTCCGCTTTAGCCTGTGTCAACCTTATAGTTTTAAAACGCGTCTACTAGGGAGAGACTTCCACACCCTTATAAGGAATGTTTCGTTCTCCTCTCTAACCAACGTGAGATCTCACATATTTCCACTTCTTAACCTTCTATATATTTTTAACTTTTGAATTCAAGGGTGATTTACCTGTACAACATTCGTCCATTTGGCTATACACCGCTTCTACCCTTAGATAACGACACATTGCAATTCGAATAAAGCCTACAAAAGAAGGAAAAAAGTAGTAATTTATGGTTAAATAACAGCAGAATGACTGAAAGAAAAACAAAAATGGTGACTGAAGATGATGCAAGATTGGAAGAGATTCTATTGACAAATAAAGAGCAATTAGTTCAGCGCCAATATAACACTACACCCGTGAATGTTCAGCTAAATAGAAACAAACAACTTTCTTGAGTGCGTGCGTGTGTGTGTGTGGGGCGACTGTGGCGTATGTGTTCACAAGAGACCACAGTGGACAACAAAAGATAATGTTCTGAGCAGTATCCACTAACAACGCACTTTCATTTTCAGGCTCATATTTTCTTCTATTATTGAAAGTCCCAACTATTTTGCTGCAAAATTCCATTACATTCTTCCTTTCATACCGCAAAAAATGATATCAAATTTCACAGTGAACCCCACATGGTTGAAAACTTTGTCTATACTAACCCCCCTAAGACCCTGAAATTTTTATACTAAAAAATGTTTATAGTATCACCAACTTTCAAACATTTTTCCCACTTTTTCTTTTGCTTTCTAGATCATATGAGAAACTGAGAGGAAAGAAAAAAAAAAAACTGACAGCCCACTTTAGTTTTCTAATCATTCAGGATCGAACTTCCAACTTTTGATCATCTTGTCAAAATGGATCTTGTGAGATCCCACGTCAATTGGAGAAATGAAAGAGTACCAGCGAGGACACTGGGACTCGAAGAAGGGTGAATTGTAAGATTACAGACCGGTTGGAGAGGGGAATGAAACATTCTTTATAAGGGTATGGAAACTTCTCCCTAGTAAACGCGTTTTAAAAACCTTGAGGCCTAAAGAGGACAATATCTGCTAGCGGTGAGTTTCGGGTTACTGTTTCAGAGAGAGTATGTACATTAATCTCGGGGGGAAGAGAGAGAGAGAGTAGTTGTATTTCTTGAGAAAAATCAAGTACCTCTAAGTCCAGTGTCCACTTTAGGCATTATTGACCACCACCATTAGTGGTCCTCCTCTGACATTGTTCTGCTTATTCCTTTTTCCTCATTGCTACAAAAGCTTTCAAGATGGCTTGTGAAATCCATAGCAAACAAGTAAGCAGCCAACGCGGGTGGCTTCTGCATTGTGCTTGGAGCTTGTTTCATCAGGAGAAAATAAACAATGCTCTTTTTACAGAAGAGAATGTTTCCTTTCTCCATCCCTGCAAGTTCAATACTTTTTCTCCTCCTCCTTCTCACATTTCAACCAGTCAGCTCATCCCAACAGCCCTACAAAAACGAAAACTTCAATACAAGCAAGAAAGACCACAGCCAGAAGGTTTCCTCTTCTTTCATTTTATATTTTACATGTCTTGATATTTGAAAAGAAATATCAATGCAGAAAAAAAAAAAAAATGTATAGCTGTAATTGATTATTGGTTATAATGGTAACAGATGAGTTCCAGCCTACTGTTTGATATCACACTCCATGGATTTCTCCTATGGGCTTCTATGGGGTTCCTTATGCCTGTTGGGATACTTGTTATCAGAATGTCTAGCAGGGAGCAATGTGGAAGAAGGCTGAAATTTTATTTCTACATTCATACAATTCTACAGGCAAGTTCATCTCTGCGCTCTTTGTTCATCACAATCTTGTCCAGCAATACTCTCAAATACTAAAATAAGTACTTTTTTTTGTTATTGTTTTCATAAAGAAGAATGTTTTTTTTAACTAAACAGACAATAAATGTAGAGAGTTGTAGGAAAGCATCATTAACGCAATTAACTTTATCTTTTCATTAAACAAGCAAACAATCCATTTTTTTTTCTTTACTTTATGAGCTTAATGATGGTTCAAGGGAAACCACAAGGGTCCTGATTCTGAATATCTTATACAGCCCCCAAGTTTGTTAACACAAAAGTTGATCAAGCAGATAATTATGAATACTTGTGTCGAAAGAAAAAATACACATCATCATATTCTAACTAATTAGAACCTCATAGCCAAATATCCATATTGTTGAAATCTAGCAGGTTTATGGATTATAATATAGGAGTTAGGTGAGATTTAGCTCTAAAAAGTCAAAAAGGATATAAAAATATGAAGTTGAAGGATTTTGATCATCCTTCAACCACATAGATGGGGTCCACTTTGATGGATCTCATTCCAATAAAGAACTGTGATTTGTGATCACAATGCTAGTATTTTCCATTCTAAAATAAGTTAATACAGTCATTATATGATCTTCACTTGATTCTGTTCAACAGATACTCTCTGTATTACTAGTCACAGCAGGAGCAGTCATGTCTATCAAGAAATTCAACAATGCTTTCAATAATAGTCATCAAAGGATAGGGATTGGCCTATATGGGATGATCTGGTTACAGGCGTTGATTGGAATTGTAAGGCCAAAGAGGTAAAATTTCATACTTCATCAGATATAAGGCAATATCTCCTGTTCTATATTCGAAACATTTCTAAGAATATGATTGGGCAGCTTATAAATGTTTGTGTTATTATACATGCGAGCCAACAATTTTTGAAGGATGAAGAGTACTGGTTGTTGTAAGAATAGGCCATCCAAGAACAGACTCACAAAAACAATTTTTGTAACAGTTATTCAACAACCATGTTTCTACTGATCTTTTGTTAAAAGAAACGATTAGAAAAAACAAACAAAGTTTCCTTACTCCAAAATCAACTTTTGCATTGACTTCTATATGCTGAATTCTCTCTTTTCTATCTCTCTTGCAGGGGCTCTAACACAAGAAGCCTATGGTTTTTTATACATTGGATGCTGGGCACTGCAGTATCTCTCCTAGGAGTCTTCAATGTATATTCAGGATTATTTGCATACCATGAGAAAACATCTCGAAGTATACGAATTTGGACTATAATTTTCACTGTTGAAATTTCTTTGATTTCATTCTTTTACCTATTCCAAGACAAACTGGAGTATATACAAAAGCAAGGAGTTATTTTGGGGAATGATTTGATAACACCTACCGATCAAGTGCTCTCTCCAAATGACAAGCAAAAGGAGCTGACTACTGATCCTTGCTGAAGGAGTAAATAGATTTGTCAGAAGCTTGCTTTCACTAACACGAGATTGTTGTCATTCTTCTTACTCATATCTCTCCTCTTATTGGGATTTGTATAGGGAAAGAGTGTGGTATTTTGCGAGAGATGAAATCTGGGCTTGCAGGAGCTATTTTCTGATGTGGTTTTTCTGTTTTCTATCACAGATTTGAACCTAATGAATACAGAGGTTTTGAAGAATAAAAAGAAGATACTGTCATCTGGTTCCTATAATTTTTGGTTGAAGAGGGGCACAAAACATTTCTTATAAGGGTCTGGAAATCTCTCCCTAACATACGCATTTTATAATCGTGAAGTTGGCGGTGATACGTAACAGGCTAAAACAGACAATATATATTAGTAGTGTGCTTGAGTTGTTATAAATGGTATCAGGGCCAGTCACCGACGATGCGAGGCACTGGTCGGAGTAGGGCTAGACCCTTTCTATAGAAGATGCGTTTTAAAACTGTGAGGCTGATGGCAATACATAACGGGCAAAAAACAAACAATATCTGCTAATGGTGGGCTTAGGCTGTAACATTCTACTTCCAGAAATACTGAAGTTGAAAATTAAGATGAAAACAATGGGCAATGAATCTTCAATATCATGATCACTTCTAGATCATGAGATAATCACTTCTATGCATATGATGTTTGTATAAACTGTATATCATGGAAAAAGTTAGCCCTACTTTTTATAGCCAGTGATTATTATAGCAATTCCCAATATTAAAATAGAAGGCAAAATTATAAATGCTCCAACTGTAGTAAAAAAAACTGACCGTTCCTTTGAGATACTTCGTTCAAGTATGATTGTCTTTTGATATTTCCTCTTCTGAGAATTTGTCAAAAACTTGGCACTAAACTTCTTCAAGTTCTTACCCAACGGAATGTTAAAATCGTCATCTTTGTCTCTGAACAACTGCGCAAGCTGATCACGGATCATAATTTTCTGGTAACTGCCATCGCTTTCATAACCTGAGAACATAAAATCTCAGTAAGTTCAAGTGAAATGATGATGATCTTTTTCAATGAAAGAAGGCTGATGCCATTCTATTTCACTCCCATTTTGTTTGCTTGTTAGAAGAGAGAATCAGCTCACTTACCATCAATTAATTGGCTACCAGAAGAGAGTTGCTCCAAGAGATCAAGCTGTGTGTGCGCAGAAGAAGATGATCCTATACAGTTGAAAAGAAAAATAATGATAATCTTTAATTGCTTCGTAAAATCTTTAAAACAAGCAGGTTAAACTACACTTTTGATTTCTCATGCTTTAACCTTAGTTTCAATTTGATTCCGTTACTTCTAAAACTATCATATTTCGTCCTTACGAAATTGTTAAAATTAGATTCCTCATGAAATTTCTAAAGGCATTAGAACTAAATTTGGAAATGGAATCATGCTATGTCGAAGCATAGAAACTAGAAACGTATTTAGCCAGGAAAAACAAGATAATCTTTACTTTATTATGTTTGTATAGATAAGCCATTTGAATTGGAATTGGATCCCCTTCCATATCAAAAAAGGAGTTCATAATGTCCATTCCCTCAATAATATATTCTCAAAAGAATTTAAAATCTCAATCGTTCAGATTTACGAATACGATTCTTCCATTGTAGAGGTAATTAAACTACAGGATTGATTACAGAGCTAAGAATCAAACGAATCACAATTTTGAAGAAACAAGTATACAGCAAGCAAAAGCAAGAAAATATGCATTAACGAAACAAAAGCAGTGAATCAATGCATACCGGATGAAGACGAAATGAGAAGAGTCTACCCTCGGCGCCCTCAGAAACAGCCAATTTTCTCGAAGAAGATGAAAAACGAGAATGAAACTTCAAAAGCGGCCATTTATTCTACAGAAGATTTGAAGAAGAAGATAAGTGTGGATTTGAGCCATGGAACGCAATCACGAAATTCGAGTTCATGATTTTATTGTATTCAAGCCAAAAATCTATGGCTTCCGGTCTCCATTACAGGGACTTGGAGGGGAACTTGAATTGGCGGCTACAATTTTTCCATTTTTTCAGTTGGCTTTTCAAATTTTAATTTACATCATGCAATTTATAGGCACTTCAATTTTCATAATTTAATGGAAAATAGCTTCGCCGCAACATAGTCTTTATTTATTTTAAATATTACCGTCTCAAAATTAATTAATTAATTAATTTAATATAGCTAAAAAAACGTATTTATAATATATATTAAAAATATATTTATTTTAAGCGCGGTTATATAACAAATATAATCTTGTTCCTGTCGCTGATTATTTAATTGAAAAAATGTTCTCCACTCCTTCCCTCGTTTCTTGTCTAAATAGGAAATTATCTCTTCGTTTGGGGCAGAGTCTCATAGATAAAATGAACATCTCTATCATTCATATTAGGAAGAAAAGATACGATATTGAAAATTTTTATATTTTTATTAAAAAAGAAAAGTTTCGAGTCAGCTTCCAATAGCTAAAAGGGTTAAAGATATAATTAAATTGTATCCTAAATTTTTTCACGAAAAAAATTCAAATATACGTTTCCAAATATATTTCTAAAATTAATTTGCGTTAAAAATCAAAAGAAAAACTGTCAATTTAAAATATTCATACGAAATTATTTATAATCTGATGTTTAAAGTTGTATTAATTAAAATCTCAAAATTAATAATTATGTCCATTTAAATCCTAAAGATGAAGAAGGGTATTTTGGTAATTTGAAGAAAAGAGAAGAAAGGAAGGGATTTGAAAATATGACCGTTGGAGGCGTTTGGGGATCATTATTGTATTCCATTTGAAAAGAAAAAGGAAAATATTTTAAGAAGTCCACATCGAATCAGATTCAAAGTGAACGAAGCCTTTTTCCCCAAAAATACTCTCTCACACGCTCTTACTCACATTTCTTCCTTTTTCTCTCGGAGAAACACGGCGGCGGGTTAATGGCAAGTCCCGACACGGCGGAGTCGACACCGGCGGCGGCGGCGACGGAGGAGGAGGCTCATCCCTATGCTTTTCATGTATCTGGACCGCGCAATGTTATTTCTCCTAATTGGCGAGATCTCATTAATTCGAGTTGGTAACTTCACTCTCCTCTGTTTCCACCATTTTTTCCGGCTCTGGTTTCTTCTTCACTTCTATCAAGCTTATAATCTAAGATCAAATAACATTTTGATGTTCATAAACTTTTAATCATCTTGATTTCATCCTTCGAAGCTAAATTTTGTCGAAATTAGTAACAATTTTGATTTGATTTTTCAAGTCTAGACAGTGCAGTTGTTAGAAATGGAATTTTTATGCAAGATGTTTGTGAGTTCTCGAGATCATTACGAATCTCAATTTCTTTAAAATTTTGGTTTGTTAATGCAGGATGAATTTGACCAGGTTGAGTGTTAAAAAAAAAAAAAAACTTAGGGTTTGAGTTATGAATTTGTTTGAACTGATTTAAATTCAAATAAATGAGAAAATTAGATTAGATGGATCAGAATCAAATCGAATTTATTGTTAAATCTTAAAAAAAAAGATGGTACAATTATATATATGTTATATTTTATTTAATAAAAATTTGAATAAATGACACGATCCCCGAACCAACCCAACTCCAAAATCTTATGGTTGAGTTGGATTGAGTTCATTGTTTAATAAGGAAGGGTTGTTTGAGTTTAAAAAGTTTGTAACCAGAATAATTGAGTTGGGTTTAAAAAATGTCCCAACTTAACTCGATCCAACCCAACCCATTAACATCTCCATCCGAGACTGGCCGAAAACCATGCAGTTCAATTGAAACATTTTTTTATTAATTTTCTTAGTTCAATAATATGATAGTAGAGAATTCGAACCTCTGTCATTTTAGTCGATAGTATATGATTTACATCAATTGAGTTAGGCTTATTTTGACATTCCACTGAGGAATTTCGGTGCAGGAAGGACGGGAATTACAAAAGAACCGTCGTTGCATGTTTTATCCAAGCAGTTTACCTGCTTGAACTAGACAGACAAGAGAACAAAAGCAACAAAGAAAACGCACTGGCTCCCAAATGGTGGATCCCCTTCAAATACAAGCTAGCACAAACCTTGATAGACGAAAGAGATGGTTCCATATTCGGTGCAATACTAGAATGGGATAGGTCAGCAGCCATGGCCGACCTAGTCCTCATCAGACCCAGTGGTGCACCAAGGGCTGTTTTAGCATTACGAGGGACATTACTCAAAAGCCCGACGATCAGACGGGACATCGAGGACGACCTTCGGTTTCTCGCTTGGGAGAGCCTAAAGGGTTCGGTCCGGTTTAACGTAGCTTTGAAGGCACTGAAATCAGTGGCTGAGAGTTATGGAAGCAGCAATGTCTGTATCGCTGGGCACTCCTTGGGCGCTGGGTTTGCTCTACAAGTGGGGAAGGCCTTAGCTAAAGAAGGAATCTACGTTGAAACTCATTTGTTCAATCCTCCTTCTGTTTCAGTGGCTATGAGCTTAAGGAACATAGGGGAAAAAGCTGAGTTTGCTTGGAAGAGAATCAAATCAATGCTTCCTTCAGGGAGTGAAACTACAGGGAATAGCAGCATGGAAGGAGAGAAGGCCAGTGGAGGGGGAGCTGGTTTCAAGAGCTGGGTAGCTAATCTAAACAGGTTGAAGAATCCTGGGGTGGGTATTGGGAAGTGGGTCCCACATATATATGTAAACAATAGTGATTATATATGCTGTTCATATACTGAATCAGATCAAGTAGAGAAAAGCAATGAAGAGAAAGAGAATGTTAATCCTAAAAAAGGGAAAGCAGCTGCAGCAGCTGCAGCAGCGAAGTTGTTTGTAATGTCAAAGGGAAAGCAGAAGTTTCTTGAAGCTCATGGATTGGAACAATGGTGGTCTGATGATTTGCAGCTTCAGCTAGCTCTTCATGATAGCAAGCTTATAAGCAGGCAGCTTAGGTCTCTGTACCCTATGTCAACAGGACAGCCAATACAGGGAAATCCTAGTAGGTGAGTGAAGTTAAGTTTCGGGGATTTTTGTGGCTAAATAACTCGTTTTCGACTTCGGGATATGTCGGTATAGTTCTTATAAGCAGGCAGCTTAGGTCTCTGTACCCCCTGTCAACAGCACAGCCAACACAGGGAAATCATTATGGAATTTTGTGGCTCAATAACTTGTTTTCGATTTTGGGATATTTTGGTATAGTTCTTTTGGTGTCGTGTTTCGTGTTTGTTGCTTCGTTTGGATT